GAAATCTTTCACTTCCTGCCTCTGTTCTCCACTGTGTGGGTCTCTTCAAACTTCTTGATAATACTTCTCACAGCTGTTCTTGACACTTGAAAACGCTTTGATAAACGTGTATATGCTTCTCCTTCTTTGTGAGCATTGACAATTCTTTTTCTCAAGTCTAAACAAATTTTTTTTGTCTTTGCCATGATGACAGTGCATATTATTTTACTAGGTGTTTTGAAAGATACTAATCCTCAGCTTACAGTGCAATTTAAAGGCTTAGAGGATTAATTAGGTTAATTAGGCAAGTTAGGTTAGTTAGACAAGTCATTTGACAACAGTGGTTTGTTCCATAGCCAATCAGATCATTTCTTAAAAGGGGGCTAATAATATTGACCTTAGAAAAAAAATTTTTTTTTAAATAATTATTTTATTCCAAGCAAATTTAAATAAATAAGGCTTTCTCCGGATTAAAAATATAATAAGAAATACTGTGTTAAAATTTCCTTGCTCTGTTAAACATCACTTGGGAAATATCTGAACTGAAATTTCATAGGAGGGCTAATAATTTTGTCTTCAACTGTATATAATAGTATTTAGATACTATTAGAGTTTTTATTAATACTTTGAATTCATTTTGAAAAATTTAAGGGGGTCTGAATACTTTCCGTACCCACTGTATATATATTTTAATTTAGGTTCAACTTTTAATAATTTTGTGTTTTGCCATTTCTATTAATTTCTAAGTATATTTGTATCGTATTTATTCATTTTAATTTCAGTTTTAGTTTGTTATTTTAGTACATCAAGTTAACTAAACAAGCTAACTCAAGTTCACAAACTAAATGAAAATGTTACATTGGCAACTAGCTGAAATAAGATTTTTTTTTATATATATTTTAAGTCAACGTTTATTTTATTTCAAGTAATGAAAGGTTTTTTCATGGGTTCTGCAGGTCTTAAAAAGGTCTTAATTAGTCTTAGTTTTGAATTCTTAATGTTTTCACAAATTAAGTTTAAATTGGAGCTGAAAGCCTTAAATTCATAAAGACATGGCATTAAATGTTGCATGCACTGCAAAAAAATTAATATCTTCCCAAGTATTTTTAATTTGTTTTACGATACAAATATCTAAACATTCTTAAATCGAGATACATTCACTTGAGATGCAAATTAAATATATGTCTTAAGTCTTGTTTTCTAAAAAATTTAACAAAATTAAATGAGTTAACAAGTATCTCTCAATGGGGTGTTTTTTCCTTTGAATTAAGTTGATTTGTCTGAGGCCGTTGGCAGATATTTGTTCTCGTTTTAATCATAAACTCGCTTCATTTTGATTAATTTCTCATAAAACTAGACCAGTTCTTTTGCTTCTCCAGTAAATGTATCTTGATTGAAGAATCTTTAGACATTTGAACTGTAAAACAAGACAAAAATACTGAGGAAGAACAACACTTTTGCAGTGTGAACAGAAGTTACAGTATAAGTTATTATTATAATTTACTGTTTGGGAGAGCAGATGTATTCAAGGCATAAGCTTCTTATTTTTTTGTAAAATAAATTAAAAAGTAATGGAGATCTGTTGGAAGTTGTATTTTCAAACTTTGAAGTGATGCTAACTCAAGACATTTACATTTAGAGACTTTATTGGTGTATTGTCTTCCAGTCAATTTATTCTTTGCTTGGTCTTAAAAAGGTCATACAAATTCTTATATTTACCTTCATAAAACCTGCAGAAACTCTGTTTTAGTTAACTGTAATGACCCTGAGTCATGTTAACTACCCAGAACACGCTAGTATTGTTTTGCAAAGGTGGCACCGCACGTTTTCTTCAGCAGATCTAGTCATTGTTGTTATCTTTGCTTAATTGCATCTGGGTTTATTCACATCAGTCTAATTGCATCGGTGTATTTTATCACGGATATAATGCGTGTGTTTTCCAGGTTCTACACGCGCTGGAAAGAGTGGGAGTCCTGGTATTCCCAGAGCTTTGGTTTGCATTTTTCTCTGCGGGAGGAGCAGTGGCAGGAGGACTGGGCCTTTATACTGTCATTAGCCAGTCAGGTAAGCAACCAGATGAGAAAACATTCGGATCTCACCACCTACTGAGATAGCTGCAGTTGACTCATACAGAATCACACATGCAGACACACATCCCACCCGAGAGGATGAGGGCTGAACAGATGTCTGAGCAATGAGCACTTTTTATAGCACTGTTTCCATTAGTTGGTTGTTTCCATACAGATCTATAAATGATTTTGTCAACATGGCATCAAAACTGACTATATTTACTTTCAGAAAAGAAAACACATTTTTCTTATTGTGAATGATTCAACAGTGCGTGTTATTCCAAAGAAACAAAATGATTTTCTTCATATGCTTTTATCAAGATGTAGCCATTTACTCCAACTCTGAACAGTTTTTCTTTTTGGCTGCTTTGAATGGATCAAAAAATTGACCCTTATGACTGTTTTTTTGGTCCAGGGTCACATATGTCAAATTATGAAAGTAAAATGAGTTGCATATGCTGTTTCATGTTGAATTCTTTTTCTTATAATGAAATATTCTGATGCGTTTGGGGAAACATAGCATTGAGGTTTCCCTAGTAAAACAAACAAATTGTTTTAACAATTTATTGTGGTTCTCTTGCTCTCTCTCTCTGTCTCTGTCTCTGTTCTTGTGTCATCTTCCTGCAGCCGGGTGCGAGTTTAGAGCAGACACACGTGTTTGTCTTGGCACACATCCTTCGGAGGCCTATCATAGTGTACGGTGTGAAATATTACAAGAGCTTCAGAGGAGAGACGCTGGGATACACGCGCTTTCAGGGTGAGCTGTTTTTAAGTGTGCTACGCTAGTGTGTAGATATTTCAATTTTATTTGGTTTGCTTGTTTTGCAATGGCTGCTTCTCAGATCTAGAAGGACAGATTGGCCTATGATCACTATCTATATAAACAGATAGATATAGACATAGATACTGTATATACACTACTATTCAAAAGTCAGTATGTTTTATTGTGTGTGTGTATATATATATAATATATAATTTTATATAATATATAGAATATAGAATTTTTTTTTTTAATGCTGCTCTTTTGAACTTTTTAGTCATCCTGGAAAATGTGTATCACTGTTTCCACAAAAATATTAAGTGGCATAAGTGTTTTCAACATGGTAATAAAAAGTTTCTTTTGCAGCAAATTATTAGAATGATTCCTGAAGGATCATGTGACGCTGAAGACTGGAGTAATTGCTGCTGAAAATTCAGCTTTGACATCACAGGAATAAATTCAGTTTGAAAATATATTCAAATAGAAATCAGTTCTTTTAAATTGTAATAATGCACAGTTTTTACTGTATTTTTCATCAAATAAATGCTGCTCTTCTGCTGGCGAGCAAAAGAGATTTCTTAATAAAATCGCACCAATCCCAAACTTTTGAGTGGTAGTGTGTACTGTATATATAAATTAAAATGTGATATATAATTGATATATTCATATTTCATACATTTATATAAAAGGTTTTTATGCAAGGAAGGTTTACTCAAAAAAAGATTTAGAAACAGAATATATGTATTATCCTTCTGTAAAACACAAAAATAGGTGCAGTTGTCAGCTACAAAAAATCTAAATCTAAAAAGTCAACAAATGGCCAAATCTCTTCCGAATAATTGACTTGGCCGAAGTGTTGATTTAATTATAAAGAGCTTGTCACTGCATATATCTGACGATTATATTCATTTTATCAGTATTTACAGGGATGATTAGTGTAAGCACATTAGCATTATTCTCTGGGCTGTTTGGCCACGTCGACCAAGAAATGTGTGATCTATTATATCTGCCGCTGACAGGCTGTTACTGCTGCTACAATGACGAAAGAGCCCGCAGAAACAATCCATATATCTCTGTCAACACTCTGCTGACTTCAAACACAGTGTTGGTTTTTAGGGTCAGTCACACAGCGTTTCTGTAATTACTGTTTGCTTTGGCTGTTATCTTGTAGGTGTATACCTGCCTCTGTTATGGGAGCAGAGTTTCTGCTGGAAGAGCCCTATCGCCCTGGGTTATACTCGCGGACACTTTTCCGCCTTGGTTGCCATGGAGAACGATGGCTACGATAATCGAGGCGCGGGTGCCAACTTGAACACAGACGACGATGTCACGGTCACTTTCCTGCCGCTGGTTGACAGCGAACGAAAGCTGTTGCACATTCACTTTCTGTCAGCACAAGAGGTGAGAACAGCTCTGCTGACATCAAAACACTCTGTAGAGCAGGAATATTTATGAGGGTTTAAGGCCTGTTTACACTACAACAGAATTTGCAGTGTGAAAAAAATATATACAAATGGATTGTCTTTTTTATTTTGTGTGGAGGCTGGGTTGTTTTGTAGCCGTTTTTTATTTATATTTAAGACATCACAGGTGAATATGGTAAAACATTTAACTAACAGATATTTTCCCCAGTTGATTAATCATAATACATTAAGACAATTGTTTTGCATTACAAGTTTTCTAAAATGTTGTGTGTAAATATGCAAATGATGCATTGACTAATTAAGTTTGTGCTAATTTGCATATATTTCCAGAACAGAAATCTGAATCTTTGATAAAGCCAAAATTCTTGTTTCATTTTGTTGACATATTAAAGTTTTTTTTCCGAGAGGGGATATTTTGGATATCTCTTTTTTTCACTCCATAAATAATCAGAAAATACTGTCAACGGCCAAAAAAAAAGAACATTTTCATAATGTTTTTAGGAATAAAATGTTATATAAATCATGTGAATGATATATAAACAAACCCTTTTGTAAAAATCTTCAGAATATAGGTAGAAATAAACTGTAAAGTTTGATGTAAGTGCAAGTGCTACTGAAGTGGAAATTTCAGAAAACATTTGAGAAAATGGAGAAAACAGTTATTACAGTTAATGAAAACTACATTTAAAACTAAAACCATACAAAAAAAATTGTTACTTTAAATAAACGTTTACCGGAATAAAATAATATAGAAAAGCATTTCTTTTTTTAATTTAGTGTAACTTAATGTACTAAAATGACTAAAACTGAAATAAAAATGAATATAAACTATACAGACACATTAAAAAATTGTAACACTTTACAGTAAGGTTTCATTTGTTAACTTTGCATTAACTAACAATAAGCAGTACATTTGTTACAGCAGTAATTAATCTTAGTTAACGTTAGTTATTAAAAATTGGTAATATATTTTATTTGAACCTCTAACTCTAGCACTTTCTATTCTATTTTAATTATACTTTTATCTATTTATCTTCTTTTTTTATTTAAGAAAAAACACTAGCTTTCTATTTTTTCTATTCTTTCTACTTGTTTTTCTTTGTGTGTGTGTGTGTATAATATATATATATATATATATATATATTAGGGGTGCTCCGATCAGGGTTTTTGAGGCCGATCACTGATCACAGAAAGCAGTATCTGCCGATCCGATCACCGATACCGATCTTGTGAGAGAGGAAGCAGCACGGACTGTGCTTTCACAGAAGAGTCCATTACTGATCCGTGGCTGTTTATCACAAGCACAACATTTATCCATTATTTTGATTTCAAATTTAAACATTGTCACTGGAAATGCTTTTCAGCATTGCGATTCTTTTCTTTTACACCGTACAGTAATACAATCTTTCACAGACATGTTTAAACACAATAAATATAAGCAACACATTATTCAATGCTTTTTACTTTTGCATTTACTTCTGCAGCAATAGACTCGGTGTGGAAACGATCTCTGCACTGCTGAGGTGCAGACGCACCGCTCCTGAATGCACTGCCGGGCCACAGCTGTGTGCAGTGAACGCTTTAATCTTTTAACATGAGCGCGGAAAAAAATACGCACCACGTATGCACTGCAAACGGAGTAATGTGAACCTGGCATTATGTGTGTGCGCTGCGAGTGTGCATGAGCGCACGGTTTCCAGGAGAGCGCGCGAGCGCTGGATGGTTAAACACAGGCAAGAATTAAAAAGTAATGCAATTTATAAACTTTAGTGACGATGTGACACTGCCTCGATTGTGCAAGTGACAATTCCTGTGTCAACTGTGCAGCGTGCAGCTCGCTTATAGACAGACGTGATGTGTGGTGATTTGAAGTCATTTGCGTATTTTGATATATATACACACACCTTGCTACGTGTACTGTGTTAGGCGAACCGAGACTTGTCATTTGCACTTATATATTGTTGCTCTTTTGTTAGTTTTGACTGCTTTTATTGTCCTCATTTGTAAGTCGCTTTGGATAAAAGCGTCTGCTAAATTACTAAATGTAAATGTAAAAGTACAGCTGTTCATTGTTAGTCCATGTTAGCTCTGGTCCATTAAATAACATTAATAGATACTTTTGATTTAAATGTTGGAATCAACGTTAATAAGATTAATAAATGCTTTAAAATTATTTTTCATTATTAGTTTGTTAACTAATGTTGTCAAATAATTTTAACAAATGGAACCTTATTGTAAAGTGTTACCAAAAAAAAAACTACTAAAAATGTCAAAAATGCACAACAAAAATAGCACTGATTGTCATTTAAATCTACAGAGGCAAAAGTGTAATAAAATAAACACTTGTGTATTTTGGATGTTTTTTTTTTCACTAGTCTGAAAGAGGACAATTATGGAAGCAAAATAGCCCAAAATCTTTAAATTGACCAGCGTATGAAAAAACAATGGTGTTGCCTGTGGTGTCTTGCCTTAACCATTCAATAATAAGCATATCTACTTTTTGATTTCAAACAGTTCATTCTATAATCTGAATATTATTTTTTTGAAAATCCTGAAAGCTCAACACCATACTGTTTTTGCTGCCAAGAAAAAATGTAATTGGCATAACTGTTTTTATCGCCCCCTTTCTGTACTGAATGGAAAATATATGTTTTTGTAAGCTGTTGTTGATGTAAGTTGACGTGTTCTCTGATTGGTTACTGTGCATGTCCATCAGATGGGGACGGAGGAGCAGCAGGAGCGGATGCTGCGGCAGTGGATGGACTGCTGTGTTACGGAGGGCGGGGTTCTGGTGGCCATGCAGAAGAGCTCCAGGAGGCGGAACCACCCGCTTGTCACTCAGATGGTGGAGAAGTGGCTGGACGGTTACCGGCAGCTTGCCGCTTGTCCAACTCTCTCCGACGGAGAGGAGGAAGAGGAGGACGAAGACGAGTGAAGAACAGTCGGCATTACTTGACACTACAACACGGCCCTCTTGCGTTCCCCGACACACAGAAACACACAAACACACACCGAAAGACAAACCCGAGCTTTCCTTTTTGGTTTTTGTCCCTAATACGACAATTAATTTGGGTTTGTTGCAAAATAAAGGAATGCAATCATGATTGTATTTGTCTTAACAGAGTATGTTCTTTGCTTTCGTTTGTGTTGTTTTTAATTTGCTGTTTCAATGCTTGTAGTGATTTAAGAAAAAGAGGAGGAAGGAGTAGGCGAGAAAAAGATATTTAAATAGGTAAATTGCAGCAATTTAAGCACCCTTTTTAAAACGTCCGGTTTCAGTTTGTAACAGAACCGACGCAGATGTCTATTTCTATTTGTGTAGCGTGACTAGACTGAGATTACTAAAACATCATTCACTATATGTTTGAAAACGAGCATTATCTACGAATCACACGTATGACTGTGACGATTGCTTTTCTAAATAAAGCCGCCGTTACGAGGAGAACGCAAGTGGACATTTTAACTCGATTTCTAACAGATTTTCTGTATTTATCTGAATAATAGTTTGTGAGCCATAGAAATGAATGCTTTTCCACTCACATTGCCGTCTCTTGTCGTCCCATCTTTGAACTACGCTGCAAAGAAAAAGGCATGTGTCAGTTTACTATGTCCGTTGGATGAGATTTCATGCCCTTTTTGGAAGGGAACATTATTTCAGCTTTTTTCAATGTGGTCCGTTCACTCTTTCAGTTGTGTATTTGTGTGTGTCGTTTGTCTTTTGTAAAATGTCTGCCACAGATTTTTCAGTGCATGTTTTTTTTTTCCACTCGGGTTTCCAAAACTCTGTCATCACATTCAAAGACTTGATGTAGACCAAAGTGAACATTACGAGAGATCTGTGGAGTGTTTTTGCAGTGCTAATATAACCGGTTAACTGCTTTGTTTTTCCCTGTTTTCATCTCATCACCTCTTGTATTTGTGTCCGGTCCTTCTCACATCCTCATGTTTTATTTTCTTTTTTAAATTATGTGATAGTTCTACTACACTATGGTATATTTGATATATAAGGTGGAGACCAAACTTGGTGATATTGAAGACCTAAGTGTTTTGAATGTCCAACTATGAAACTATTATAAAACTTCAAAACAAAACAAAATGTGTGATTTCCTACATACAAACTACACATGCTCATATGAGAAATGCTCATTGCAGCTGTTTTATGTAAGGATGTTGCAATAGCAAATTCATTGCTATACCTTGTCTATTTGCAATTTAAATGATAACTTTCTAGACTACACATCAACCCTGAAAGGTTATTTTGAAAAACCAGAACAGTCATGCCAAAGCATTACAAGTCAAACAATATGCTGCTAGAATATCATGGTGAGTTGTTTGGCAATACAGAACCTGCTCAAACAATGCATGCATGCTTCATTAACTAGTGTACACTTTGTACAGGGTTTCTGCCACATTTGACGAGTGAATTTCTATTACTTCTCCAGTCAATGTGCTTTTTTATAGCGGGGGCAGATTTCAGTTTATATCTCAAAATGTAGCCTAATGTTTGTTCCATACCTGTATGAGTTTCTTTCTTGTACTGAACACAAAGACGTTATTTTTGAAGAATGTGGGTAACCAAATAGTTGCTGGTCCCCATTGACTTCCTTGGTATGGAGAAAAAAAATAGAAAAAATAAAAATGGGAACCAGCAACTGTTTGATTATAAACATTCTTCGAAGTATTTTCTTTTGTGTTACACAAACGTTTCAGGTTTTCAACTTCTCAATTTTCATTTTTGAGGGAACTATCCCTTTAAGAGAAATATGTAATTATGTTGTAGTCTTCAACAAATCAATTAATAGGCCATAAATATACAAATGCGAACATGAATCCAGGTTTTAATGATTTACAGTGTGAAGTCTCAAAACCTAAACTATTTTTTTAATGACTAACCCAGGGGAAATTATAAACTGTGTAAAACAGGATATCCCTGTAAACATTTCAGCTGTGGCTGTAATGAAACCTGCCTTATGACAGTTTTCCAGACATAATGAAGACAACAGGTTAAGTAAAAATATAATATGTAATCTATTGTATATATTTAGTAAAATGCTCCTCTGTTGTTATTTAAAAAAAATTTCTAGCTAACGAGCTATGAACATTACATTGCTTTCCTGAGGTATAGGTAAAGTTGCGTGACAATTGATTAGAAGCGGTTTTATTGACGTAATTCTGCAGTTAAAACTCTCATTAAGCGATTACTTGATACATTTCATAAAGTTGTAGTTTCCTTCAACATACTTTGGATATTCAGTCATATTCATTTCACGTTAAAACTAGTAGTAAAGAGGAAGAGATGATCGGTTGACTGCCGTTTGAATCTCACGCCACATTTAATGGCATCAAAATTGACATTTGTTGTTTAAATTTCATTATAAAACTGACAAAATTTGAAAGCTTATTCTTTGTTTCTTATAAAAAAAAACAACAACAAAGAAACAAGCTCACTGCAGTTATTGGATGCCAGGCGTGCGGTTTAGTAAAGTTTTGTTTACACATCAACTGAAAAAAGGCACAGATTATAAAAGGTCATATATCATCAAAATGAGAGTATATTAAAAACTAAAAATCTATATTATCAGCCCTGCATCTCACAGCTGACATGCTTACCTTTTGTAACTTTTATGTTGTGTGCAGGAAACAGACACTATTGATACTATTGATTAAACGTGAAGTTTACAGCCAATGATTTCGACCTTCCAAAACTATTTCAGCCCAAACTGAAAATTAATTTTCGGCCTCTGTAATTATTCTGTAATAATTTAAGTTAATCAGTAGAAAATAGGTCTGAAATGTTCCACAAAATAGTAATCCAAACCCAAACCAATGACAGGTAGATCTCAGGCTTTAATCGTCAGAGAATTCAGGAAAGGCTCAGAGAAACTCAGTGAACTGAAATATTTAACTGGCATTGAGCACAAACGAACAACAGAGGGTTAAGTCAGGAATTAATAGTTAATGTTTAACAAACAAAAAAAAAAAGTGTAAGACTGTATAATGACATGTTAAAGGTAGAGCCCCTCCGGTGTCCCCTCCTGCTTCTTGTACAGGACGTTCTCTTTAGACTTTTTGAAGTCTTCATTAGTAACTTTCATTCTCCGTTCCCTCAGAGCCATCAGCCCTGCCTCTGTGCAAATGGCCTGGAAGAAAAACATATAAAATCACTATTAAATACAATGAAGTGCATATACAAATTTGTTCAATCATTCATGACCTTTGTTCATGTTGTAATTAATATTTGAGGCACTGAAGGGATAGTCCAACCAAAAATGAAAATTCTTCCATTGTTTACTCACTCTAATGTTGCTCTAAACCTGTATGACTTTCTTCGGTGCAACACAAAAAGACATTTTGAAGAATGTTGGTAACCAAACAGCTTTGGTTCCCATTGACTTCTATTGTAGGGACAAACAAATACAATGGGTGCCAATGGGAACTAAAACTATTTGTTTAGCAACAATCGTCATATACAGGTTTGAACAACATTAGGGTGAATAAATAATGGCGGAATGTTCATTTTTGGGGTCCATTAAACCTAAATTAAAATTGTAAATTAGTCAGACAAGGTCAAATGAACCACATTACCTTGTTCTGCAAGACAATGTTTTTCTGTGTAATCAAATTGCATAAGATTATGCATCTATTTAATTAAATGGCCCTTTGATGCTACCTTGATATCAGCACCGGAGAGGTCCTCTTTAGCCAGGATGAGGTCGTCCAAAGTCACGTCACCTGCTACCGTCATCCTGCTGGTGTGGATCTGAAAGATTCTGCGCTTGGTCTTCTCATCCGGCAGTGGGAACTCAATCTTACGATCGATTCTACCTGTGGAATCACAAAAAGGAAACACCTAATTTTAGTCTACAAAGTAATGTGCTTCATCCAATTATGTGCACTTTAAAACAAAGGAAACTCTCACACTAATGTTTGTGACATCAGACGTTTGTGTCTGGCCAGTGAGTCCACTTTGATTCAATTAGCATGTGAAACGCACACCAGAAAAAAACATGGTAAGCTGACTAATTCACCTGGTCTAATGAGAGCTGGGTCAAGTGTCTCAATCCTATTAGTAGCCATGATGACTTTAACGTCTCCGCGCGAGTCAAATCCATCCAACTGGTTTAACAGCTCCAGCATTGTTCTCTGGATCTCACGCTCTCCTCCTGAATTAGATTCATACCTGCAGAGAAACAACATCCAAAAGTCAGTGTTTATCGCTGTTTATAATAAAAACAATCTAGTCTGTACCCGTTATACACACACCTGGGGTCACAGAGAAATGTTGTTGTTTTTTTTTTATAGTGGAATTATATCTCGCATAGCTAGTATATAGCTTAGCATACATTTTGTCAGTGTTAGTCTAAAAATCTACCCACAGCTTTGGTTTTATTTTGTGAATTATGAGTGAATATTGGGTAAATAAGTGTATGTAATGTGTAAATTTAAAAAAAAGTAAAAGTATTGTGTAAATAATACATTTAAAATATTTAGAATTTTAATTAGTTTGTTCTATAACTACATACATATGCACCGATCAGGCATAACATTATGACCACCTTCCTAATATTGTGTTGGTCCCTCTTTTGCTGCCAAAACCCAAAAGGGTCTGGCTGCAGACTTGCACTTGCACTCTCAGACACTTGCGCTTCCGCAAGTGACGTCACTTGCAGTCTTTTTTATTTTGTTCTATTTATTGATTTTTTGTTTTTGTTTGAATCTCTCAACATTTTACAACAGGTGATGAAGACAAGAAAAAAGAAACTAAATTACAATGTCACTTGCAATCGCCACTTGCCCTCTCCGCTACCTGTGACGTCACTTGCAATCGACACAAATCGTGCGTGTTGCCAATGGAGACAAGACGCTGTGATGGTGATTAAATGATTAAAACTAATTTAGTACTATAACATACAGGGTCCTGCAAGAAAAAGCAAGACACGCAAATCCGTGGCCACAGAACAGCAGAATATGAACGCAATGTGCAAAGTCTCTCGTTAAGCGTTTTCCTCCCGTAGAAAACCATAAACACTTAATATGGCTTAATGTATTAAGATACATTAAGTGCAATTAAAAGATCAAATTCGATAGTTATTATTTAATGTACTACAAGGCAAGCAGATGGCCATGAACATAATGCGCAAATTTTCACTTGTCCTCCTATACAGCAAAACGCTTAATGTGGCATAATAATGGACTAAGATGATAAAGACAATTCAGTAGCCTATAAGTCTTGTTGTTGATGCAAAGTACAGACCAGCAGATATGAACGTGCATTATGAAATTATGTGATAGGCCTATTAAAAGGATCAACTCCGTACAGGCAAGCAGACGAGCCCAGAACGCAATGCGTTAAATTGCATGTTAAACATTTTCCTCCCATAGAAAATCATTATAAATAAAACATAATATAGCTTAATGGACAAAGACAATAGACATTTTATTCTATATGGCAAAACGCTTAATGCGAAACTGCGTGTTGCATTTATTCTGGGCTCACCTGCTTGCCTGCACAAATTAGTTATGTATGTTTTAATAATGAAGAGGAGCATATTGAGTTTGGTCTTTATCATCTTTACTGTATTTTTGATCAAACAAATGCAGCCTTGGTGAGCAAAACCCTTCATACTAGGGATGCACAGATACCGATACTGGTATCGGTATCGGGCCCGATACTGGTCTCCTGTACTCGTACTCGTTAAAATGCCCCGATACCAAACGCCGATACCACACAGCATGCGATCAATGCCATTACATTTTGGTTTGACTGTATCTATTTGATAAATGAAGTTAACCAACTAACATTATACATACTCTTTTGGTTTCTGTACCCAATATTTTAAAAATGTACAAATGCAATAAAATATTGGTATCGGTACTCGGTATCGGTAAGTACCAAAAATAAAAGTATCGGTATCGGGCGAGTACTGGAAAAAGTGGTATCAGTGCATCCCTACTTCATACTCACCTCTTTGTGCCGATAGCGTCAATCTCATCTATAAAGACAATGGACGGAGCATGTTCCTCAGCCACTCTGAAGAGCTCTCGCACCAGTTTGGGACCATCACCCAGGTATTTCTGAATAAGCTCTGAG